AAGTGGCTAGTTAGCGCCCTAGCCGCATGGCTAGCTAGCTGGCTGGCTAGCTAGCTAGCTAGCTAGCCAGCCAGCTGACTACCTGGCTGCCTACTTCATGACGTGGCTGGTTAGCTAGCTATCCAGCTAGCTAGCTAACTAGCCAGGTAGCTAGTTAGCTATGTAGCTAGCTAGCTAGCTAGCTAGCTAGCTAGCTAGCTGGGCAGACGGGAGAGCAGCTAGCTGCTCTCCCATCTGTGCTAAATCCCAAACCCCTGAACGCCTTGCGCGGGCCGGGGTGTACGTACACCTGAGCCTTTTATTATTTTTTTTACGACAGCAAAACAGCCGACAAGTTGGACCAGGTGTACGTACACCTTGCTCCTCAACCCCCTGAGGTACCGGCCATACGGCGCTAGCTAGCTAGCTAGCTAGCTAGCTAGCTAGCTGTGTTGTTAGTTAGCTAGCTAGCTAGCTAGCTTGCTAGCTAGCAGGCCGGCTAGCTAGCTAGCTGGCTAGGTAGCTAGCTAACTTGCTAGCTTGCAGGCCGGTCAGCTAGCTAGCTGGCCAGCTAGCTGGCTAGCTAGCTGGCTAGCCAGCCGCAGGTAGGGTTTCTACGGTGTACGTACACCGCAGCAGCGCTCGTTACAGAGTGTACGCACGCTCCTGACGGAGCCAGCCAGCTACCCACCGGCTAGCCAGCTAGCCAGACACCACCTAGCTAGCTACCAAGCCAGCCAGCCAGCCACCTAGCTAGCTAGCTAGCCACCGGCTAGCTGGCGAGCCACCCACCACCTGGCTAGCTAGCTAGCTAGCTAACCACCAGCTAGCTAGCTAGCTAGATACTTTAACAGCCAATTGACCACCCACTACCTAGCTAGCTAGCTAGCCAGCTGGTTAGCTCACCAGCTAGCTAGCTAATCACCAGCTAGCTAGCTAGCTAGCTAGCTAGCTAGCTAGCTAGGCGTCGAGGCTGCCGCCAGTGAGTACGAGGTGGGCCGTGCCTTCTCCCTCCTGGACGCGCTGGAGGGCCTTGAGGGTCGGAAGAGACTCCATCAGGTTTTCCTGCAGTCTCCTTTCTGCAGCAGCAGCAGCAGCAGCAGCAGCAGCAGCAGCAGCAGCAGCAGGGAAAAGGAGACACCAGAAACGGAGACAGCATGAGCGGAGGAGACAGGAGCAGACAGGGGGGCAGAAGAGGTGGTAAAAGGAGACAGGAGAAATAAAAGGAGAGAGAAGAAATAAAAAAGAGACAAAAGAAATAAAAAGAGACGAAAGAAATTAAAAAAGACGAAAGAAATAAAGGAAAAGAAATAAATAAAAAGAAGGAAATGGAATAAAAAGAAAACAGAAATAAAAGGAGACAAAGGAGACAGCAGCAAACGAAGTGTCTCCTAATGGCCAGCTCGGAGAGACCGGAAAAGAGACAAGAAAGAAAGAGAAAATTGGAAGAAAAAAAGGGACAAAAGAGACAAAAAGGAGACAAAAATAGAGGAGGGAAACGACGGAGAAGGAGCAGATAAAAGAGCTCGAAAAGGAGACAAAAAACAGCCCGGAAAGAGACAAAAAAGCCCCAAAAAGAGACTCGCTGCGAATGCATGCGCATGTGCATGCATGCAGCTGCGGTGTACGTACACCCCAACTCACCCAACTCCAACTTCTTCAACTTCTTTTCTTGTTTTCGCAAACTCGGAAACTTCCCGTGGAAGTGCCAAGAAATCCGCCGGAAGGCGTCCTTGGCGGTCTGCGCAGCCCAAACCCTAAACCCTAAACCCTAAACCCTAGACCCTAAACGCTGCAGCAGCAGCAGCAGCAGCAGCAGCGGGCGGCAGCAGCCCGCGCAGCCGCCGCGCTGGACTCCAGCAGCGCCGCCTCGCGCCCTCCTGCGCGACGCACGGAGGACTCAGCACCAAGGGTTTAGGGTTTAGGGTTTAGGGTTTAGGGTTTAGGGTTTGGCGGACCATGACGTTTCCGAAGGCGTCTCTGTAGTCAATGTTCACTTCTTTGCCAGAGTCCGCGTTGTGCAGCGGCTGCTCCAAGTGGTGGCCGCGCCGCCGCCGGATCTTGTCCAAAGAAAAGAAGTCTGAGCCGCACACCCTAAACCCTAAACCCTAAACCCTAAACCCTAAACCCTGGAAGCTAGACGCGGAGCACTTCCGCGGCGCTGCAGTCTTGAAGAGCTGCAGCAGCAGCAGCAGCAGCAGCAGCAGCAGCAGCGGCCGGGGGGGGG